AGCAATTCCTCGGGAAAAACGTCCACGAGATCAAGTCCACCATACTGTCGACCCTCGAGGGACACTTGCGCGCCACTCTCGGTATAAAAGTTTCATACCTGTCCCCCCCCTTCCACTGCTCGTATTGACATTCCCGCTGTATACAGGTACCTCATCGGTCGAGGAGGTCTACAAGGACAGGGACCAATTCGCGGCGCTGGTGCGCGAAGTCGTGGCCCCGGACGTCGGGCGCATGGGCATCGAGATACTCTCGTTCACCATCAAGGACGTGTACGATGACGTCCAGTACCTCGCTTCGCTCGGCAAAGCCCAGACAGCGGCCGTCAAGCGGGACGCCGATGTCGGTGTCGCCGAAGCAAACCGCGATGCTGGGATCAGGGTAACTCATCCCACTTTTTAGCTTACACACATGTATACACCTATACGTACACTTGCCGCATCGGTACGGTACAATGTATTATGTAGTGTATAATCACCTTGTAATTGTCGCGTAGGAAGCCGAGTGCGAAAAAGCGGCGATGGGCATAAAGTACAACACCGACACGAAAATCGAGGACAACGCGCGGCTGTACCAACTGCAAAAGGCCAATTTCGATCAAGAAGTCAACACGGCGGTACGTTTAGTATATATGTATAATACATCGTGACATATATGTACGAGGGAGGTAAAAGTGTTTGGTTGTATATTGCAGAAGGCTGAGCTAGGCCTAGCTGGCGTACGAGCTCTAGGCGGCTAAAATCCGCCAGCGGATACGAAACGAGGAGATTCAGATCGAGGTGGTGGAGCGGCGCAAGCAGATCGAGGTCGAGGAGCAGGAGGTGCGCAGGAAGGAGCACGAGCTTCAGAGTTTGGTCAGGCTGCCGACAGAGGCGGAGAGCTACAAGATCGGCAAGGTGTTCGAGGGTAAGAGGTCAGTCCGTGTTTGGTTTTATCATGTAAACGCGCGTTGTTTCCCTTGGTATACTTACCCTTGTTTTTTTGATATGATTGTCGCGTCGCGTTGGTAATCAGGTCACAGACGGTGGAGTCTGCCAAGGCCGAGGCCGAGCGGCGGCCATACTCAATCTCGTGCTCAACGCGATGCCCCAGGTAATAATATCGATGATGACGATGATGATGATGATTAAAAATTATACTGGTATATACATGTGTGTTTTCGCATTGGTTGCAGATCGCAGCCGAGGTGGCAGCGCCACTGGCCCGTACCGAGGTGATCGTGATGTTGGGAGGCAACGACATGACGAGTGGAGAGATAACGCGCCTCATCAGCCAGGTTCCGCCAGCCGTGCGGGCCCTCAACGGAGTCGATCTCTCGAAAGTAAGGCTCAAGAAAAAGAGCACCGAGCCCGTTAAGAAATAAGCTTACGGCTCAGGCAAGCTCGCTCGGCTTTTCCAATACTAATCACCATAAGATTCATTGCTTGCATTCTTACACATACGTATAAATATCACCGTAAAGGATAAGCTGCTCTCTTTCTCTCGATTGTTTCGAAAAAAATGGGGGGGGAGGAGGGGATAGGAGATCGGAAAGAGGACTGCATGTTAATTTGTTTGCGTCGCACCCAACTTGACCGATTTTTTGTGGTTTTGATTGTGTACGTACGCAGGTGGAAATGACAATGTTGTGCATACAAGCACGCACCTCTGTGCAAGGGACGATGACTTTTTTTTCTTNCACAGTATACTTATAATGATTTTTCTTGCGAGAGCGCGTGTTATTTGCCGCCCCAGTGAAAACGTAAGTAAGTTGTATACCCACCTACCTACCTACTTACTTGCGGTAGTTTGACCTACTCATTTTCTCTGATTTTTCTGTCGTCGCGTCTACCTGTTGTTCGTCACGTAAGGCACGAAGGAGGCTCCATCACTGAGGTACTGCAGTAGTCAATTCAGTGACGATTCACGTGTGATGTCACTTGAGGAAAGCTTTTATTAATGCTACAGTAGTTTGTTGGTAATGAAATCTTTGTTTTATTTTCAACTGAACCTATACGTGCTATCGTATCCATGCAGTGTACTATATATTTTATTGCGCTCGCTTCGTATAGGTATAAAAAAATATATACACTCCATTTTAATAGTATAATTGATGGTCAAAAGTTTGCTAACTGTAAATCGAATAATCTCGGGATTTTAATCGCAAACCCGCGAAAATCAGGATACCAGTGGTCGCACGCGACGCGATTTTCTCTTTTTTTCTCTTTCTTTTCTTTTCGCCACCTCTCACCCATACAAAAAGTAAAGTTTTATTGTTTGAAAGCTCTATCTTATTTCTCCCGGGTTTTTTTCTGTCAAAGGACGACCAAAATGTAAGATCCTTTGGTTGGTTGCACGAACTCGTCAGCTATATCTGCCCACACGTAGATTTGGGCTACACGTATTACCTGGAAACTTGACACGTATACCTAAAGTGCTCGCAATCGAAACAAGCAAGCGGGCGGTTATTATGATGAAATTCTCTCAGGTGCGCCTTGCGCGTGACTCTATACGCGCGTAAAAAAACTTGGTTGCGCATAAGTAGGAAAAAGGAAACATATACATAGAACGTGAACTTTTTGAATGATCAACGGAATGAAAAATGAAAAAGAAGGGAAAAAAGGTGATAATCAAACGAAACATTTACAGGAGGATGCTGCGGCTCCATGAAAAAGCGGACGATAGTGGGCGGATACGCGTTCACCTGGTGGTTCGTCTCGGACGTGCAGCGGCTCTTCCTCGAGGTCATGACCCTGAACCTGGTGTGCAAGAGCGTCGAGACGGCCCAGGGCGTTCCTTTGACCGTGACCGGGGTCACTCAGTGCAAAATCATAAAGGCCGACGAGCTCCTGCACACCGCCAGCGAGCAATTCCTCGGGAAAAACGTCCACGAGATCAAGTCCACCATACTGTCGACCCTCGAGGGACACTTGCGCGCCATTCTCGGTATGAAAGTTTCATACCTTTCCCCCCCTTCCACTGCTCGTATTGACATTCCCGCTGTATACAGGTACCTTATCGGTCGAGGAGATCTACAAGGACAGGGACCAATTCGCGGCGCTGGTGCGCGAAGTCGTGGCCCCGGACGTCGGGCGCATGGGCATCGAGATACTCTCGTTCACCATCAAGGACGTGTACGATGACGTCCAGTACCTCGCTTCACTCGGCAAAGCCCAGACAGCGGCCGTCAAGCGAGACGCCGATGTCGGTGTCGCCGAAGCAAACCGCGATGCTGGGATCAGTGTAACTCATCCCACTTTTTAGCTTACACACATGTATACACCTATACGTACACTTGCCGCATCGGTACGGTACAATGTATTATGTAGTGTATAATCACCTTGTAATTGTCGCGTAGGAAGCCGAGTGCGAAAAAGCGGCGATGGGCATAAAGTACAACACCGACACGAAAATCGAGGACAACGCACGGCTGTACCAACTGCAAAAGGCCAATTTCGATCAAGAAGTCAACACGGGGTACGTTTAGTATATATGTATAATACATCGTGACATATATGTACGAGGGAGGTAAAAGTGTTTGGTTGTATATTGCAGAAGGCTGAGCTAGGCCCAGCTGGCGTACGAGCTCTAGGCGGCTAAAATCCGCCAGCGGATACGAAACGAGGAGATTCAGATCGAGGTGGTGGAGCGGCGCAAGCAGATCGAGGTCGAGGAGCAGGAGGTGCACAGAAAAGAGCACGAGCTTCAGAGTTTGGTCAGGCTGCCGACAGAGGCGGAGAGCTACAAGATCGGCAAGGTGTTCGAGGGCAAGAGGTCAGTCCGTGTTTGGTTTTATCATGTAAACGCGCGTTGTTTCCCTTGGTATACTTACCCTTGTTTTTTTGATATGATTGTCGCGTCGCGTTGGTAATCAGGTCACAGACGGTGGAGTCTGCCAAGGCCGAGGCCGAGCGGCGGCCATACTCAATCTCGTGCTCAACGCGATGCCCAAGGTAATAATATCGATGATGACGATGATGATGATGATTAAAAATTATACTGGTATATACATGTGTGTTTTCGCATTGGTTGCAGATCGCAGCCGAGGTGGCAGCGCCACTGGCCCGTACCGAGGTGATCGTGATGTTGGGAGGCAACGACATGACGAGTGGAGAGATAACGCGCCTCATCAGCCAGGTTCCGCCAACCGTGCGGGCCCTCAACGGAGTCGATCTCTCGAAAGTAAGGCTCAAGAAAAAGAGCACCGAGCCCGTTAAGAAATAAGCTTACGGCTCAGGCAAGCTCGCTCGGCTTTTCCAATACTAATCACCATAAGATTCATTGCTTGCATTCTTACACATACGTATAAATATCACCGTAAAGGATAAGCTGCTCTCTTTCTCTCGATTGTTTCGAAAAAAAGGGGGGGGGAGGAGGGGATAGGAGATCGGAAAGAGGACTGCATGTTAATTTGTTTGCGTCGCACCCAACTTGACCGATTTTTTGTGGTTTTGATTATGTACGTACGCAGGTAGAAATGACAATGTTGTGCATACAAGCACGCACCTCTGTGCAAGGGACGATGACTTTTTTTTCTTTCTTTTTTTTTTCCGAGAGACTCGCGAGGTACTTGCAACAGTGACGATTGTCAGCCTTATACAATCGAATCGATTTAAACTCGCTCGATGCCTTTATAATATTAATTTATCTTTATACTTTCATGATTAATTTAACACTAAAAAAATATTATGATACAATTACAGTATTAATAATAAGCCTTGACATGGTACAACCAAAGAGGAAACTCTGACTTAAACATACGTGCCAAGTATATAAGTGTTAAACTATAACAGAATCATCGTAGACAATCGCTTTTCGCTTAAATTCATCCAAGCGAATGCTTTTTCCTAAAAATCACCAAACATAGAAATGTACGCAAAAAGAAAGTAACAAAAAAAATGTCATGCTTCACTAACATGTTCATGCTCATCATTAACAATTTTATAAGTTTTAAAATGTACGCTACGTTGTTAAAAACACGGACGATGGTACGATGATACGATGGTTTCAGGTACTAGGAAAAATTCCGGGCGCCAAGTAATTAACAGCGAGAGAGAAAGAGCGGAGCTGGCAGCTATCAAAGTGATGACGGCACACTGAACAGAGAAAGAAAAAACGGCCCCGCTTACACACAAACATTCACACACACGATTTACCAAAAAAAAAAAAAAAAATAATAAGTAAATGTAATAAACAAAAAGAAAAAATCAATACAAATTTACAACTACACTTTATGAGGCGGTGGTTTTTTAGTGGAATGGAAAGAGAGTGAGACTCAAGGACGATCGAATGTACAATGTACAGTAAGAATTTTCGTGCGTTTTGATGAGAAATATGATTGTTTTAAAGTGTGTGTGTGTGTGTTGCTTTAGCGCATTTTTTCGTTTTTCCTCATCAGAGATGACGGAAGGCAAGAATAACAAAGCGCAGTCTTGAGAATCAAATTCGATATTCTCCTTAGTTAAATGGCATTAAACGAGAATATGATAAATCCACCTTTATTCAGTTTATTTATACTTTTTGTCAATAAATTTTTTAGAAAAAAAAAAAAAGATTGCTTGATGATTTTCATTTTCAACTCTTCAAACTTGCAAAGAATCAAGAAAAAACGCGCGAGTTTATCAGCCATTTCCTCTCTGATCGCCAAGACGAAAACAATTTACACCTGTTGCCTCCTTGTTAAGCCTTTCAAGTTAGCCAATCTTTGTTTTATTTTAAAAAGATAAATATATATANACGTAATAATAGTGTCTCATATAAAACTCCACTTGTACATTTCATTGTTATTGAGCTTTAAATCGTCACTACGAAAAATGGCACAAATATAATCGATATTAAATGTAATGGCGGAAATGTACTTTTTGTGAAAGGAGGAAATAGTATTTCATTGACAGATAAAAAATCATCTTTCATATGTTTGAATCAAGTTTGAAAATAAACGCAACATTTTTTTTAATCTAACGACACTAACTTGAATGAAACGCAACATTTTGACGTTAAGTCATTGCCCTTAACGATGTAAAAAAAAAATTTATTTACATTGCCTAACGTAGTGGACGATTTCAAGCAGCTTGATAACGATAAAAACTCAAAATATATCTAATTTTAGTGAAATTGCTATGCGTATTAAATTGGTGATGCAAACTTGGCAAATAATGCTAAAATGAAACGATGACGATAGAAACGTGTTGAAACATTATTAGGCATGGTTAAAATTCCAAAAGTTCATGTATATTTTTGCAATTAGAAAAGTACAATTTTCTCGATCAAACTGTGTTTATTGTGAGTAGGAAATCTCTCGTAGATTGAATAATTAATGTATCGAGTCCCTCCTGGAGTAAAAGTGTGTAAATACTGAAAGTAGAATGGCTTTTTGACCGTCTGCTTCGACAAATATAGATGAAAATTAACAGCTTTATCTTGCAAATATCTTGTTTGTTTGTCCACCCACTAATAAACAACAATTGCATCATTGTAGTAAAGAACTTACACTTGGATATAAGTAATGATAGTTATTATGATATAAATAAGACACAAATTTATTTAATTTAAAGTAAAAAATTATACCACGAAAGTGAATAAAGTTCAAAGAAGCCGTTTGTATTTCCTTCTGTCTAAGACTATAGTTGCATAAGAGTTTACAAGAAAAAAAAAAAAACCGTAAGTCAATAAAATCGCAATGTAAAAAAAATGACATACGTCTTTCACGAGCACTTTTACAAATTCTTTTATTTGATGCTTTTTGGAATAAGAGTTATTTAATTAAGCGTCTAACACTATTATGTACTCAACAAATTTAGTACGTCCATCATAATAACGGTTATTAATAAACATCAGTTATGTATTAATTTTCGTGTACTTTTTAGCAATGGCAATTGCCTACGGGATTTAAAAATCACATTTGAGAATGTTTATAGTGTTTTGACACGTGAATTCTTTTTAAAATCGTTATTGCATAATAGTATCGAAAAATAATATGTAATATTTTATGTTTGAATTGTTAAAAATAATTTTATTGACCAAAAACAGTTTAAGTGTGTTTTAAAAACTCATAACACCAAGTTGTCTAATATTCGTGTGAAAAATTGTTTAGGATTAAAAAAGGTTTTCATAATGATTTTAATTCAGACAGAGAGTTATACACACAGAATCAGATTATGAGTCTACTGTAAAGCCTTATTTTTCAAGGCTTACTTCATTTTTATTACATTAATCATTATACCTCTAAAGTGTGTCCATCTCATAAAATATGCATTATTTAAGAGATTGAAAGGTATTAACTGTAAAACGAAATAAAGAATGTTAATTTGTGTTGGCTAAGAGCACATCTATACATTCCTACAGGTTACATATGTATACAGATATATAATATTTTAACGCTCTTTCGTTTGTAAAACAAAATGAGTAAATATAGGTATTAAGAGTAAGGGTATGCAACAACGCGTTGATTTTGAAATCCACTTTTTGTATTATGAATAAGTACATAAATTATTTTTTATTCTTTCCTATACCCATATATTTTATACCATTCTTGTAAATAATTGAATGATTTATTCTTCAAAAAAAAATGAGAATAACTCAACCAGAAAGTGTTGATGCAAAGCTTCGGAGCAAAAAGTAGTTATATTTCTTACTATGTAATAAAATGAGACTCAACGATTTGTCATTTAATACGAATTTCAGATGCATAAAGACTTTTAAAACAGGAATACTTCATGTGTAACTTGCTTTTTTTTATTTTTTTATTAATTTATTTCTTTTTTATATTATAACGAAATAATAAATA